TTTTTTTTTTTTTTTTTTTTTTTTTTTTTTTTTTTTTTTTCCCATTAATGTTACCAATGTAATAAAGAGATAAATTCCTTTTAACGATTTTTAACTGATGCATAACCTTTGGACATATATATTACAACCCAGTTCCTCCACAGTACAATGATGTAATAATGAATAATACACCCATGCAGTCCAAAAGATAATTACAATAATCTTTCCATTCATACGAGACATATATACAAACATTTGAGATACAAATATTTCCTAAAATCATGAAAATTATATCTTAGTAGAAAAAATTTTCTGTATAAAAAGTTGTTGAAAAGCAGAAGAAAACATTTTGGTGTTTTGATTGTTTTGGGAGAAAAAAGTGTTGAATAGAACAATATATATCTATAAAGTGAATGAGGATTTGCATAACTGGACCAAATCTTTCCAATTCTTATACAAAATAATTTATTTGAATTTGGCTGCACTACCTGTGTTTGCTGCTTACACTTTTACTACTACAGTTAGATACTAACATTTGATAAAGTTTTAACATACTCATTTTCAAGCATCACTGTGTTATGTGTGCTTTCTTTAACAAGTCAGTAGTTTAGTACTACCCTTTGTCACATCTTCCTAAAGCAGTAAGTAGTCAAAAAGCACAGTAAATTCGCTGGGGAAGAAAAAATATTTTTTAGACTGAACAGTTAATGAGGCAGGAAATATAGGCAGATCCTGGAAACTATGGCACCTGAAGAATGGAGAGTGTGCCACCGTGGCTTCACTAAAGTTAAATAACGTCTGACAAATTTGGTGGCCTTATGTGGCAGGGTTACGGTGCTAGTGGATAAGGGAAGAAGAACTGATGTAATCTATCAGGACTTGTATAAAGCATGTGACAGTGTCTTACATAATATCCTTGTCTCCGAACTGTTGAGATGTGGATTTAATAGGTAGTCCACTTGGTGGATAGGGTCCCATTCAAAGAGTTACAGTCAGCTGCTTGATATCTTTGTGGAGACCAGCAACAGATCTGTTTGGCCCTTTAAGTGTTGGTATTAGGATCAGAATTATTTAATATCTCTGCCAGTGACACGGACAATAAGATGGAGTTTGCAAGTTTGCGAAGATCTGGTGTGGCTCACGCTCTGGAAGGAAATGAAGCCATCTAGGAGGATCTTTAGAAGCTTGAGAACTGAGCCTGTGCTAACCTCCTAAAGTTTAACAAGGGCAAGGTGCTGCACCTGAGTCAGGACAATCCCAAGCATGTATAAAGGTTGGGCGATGAATACACTGAGAACAGCCCTATGTAGAAGGACTTACTGGTGTTGGATGAAAAATTCAAAATGAGTAGGCAGAGTATGCTTGCAGCAAAGAAAGCCAGCTGCTTCCTGGGCTACATCAAATGAATAGTGATCAGCAGGTCAATGGAGATAATTCTTCCCCTCTGCTGACCTTTTGTAGAGTTTGTGCCTGAACTATTCAGCTCTGGCTCTAGTACAAAAAAAACCCTGTTAAAATGAGTCCAGAAGACTCAGAAGAAAGTCGGAGCATTTCTATGAAAACAGACTAAGAGAGTAGGGATTGTTTAGATTAGGGAAGACTGTTGGAGTCCTCTTGATGGCTTTCCAGTTCTTAAAGGAGGTCAACAGGAAAGACAGGGAGATACCCTTTATAGGTATAATATATAAGGTATAATGGCTTTAAAATAAAAGAGGGTAGATTTAGATTAGACCATGGGAATAAATTATTTATTAAGAGGATGGTGAGGCCTTGGAACAGGTTGTCCAGAGATGTTGTGGATGACTCATCCCTGGAATTGTTCATAACCATGTTGGATAGGGCTCTGGTTAGCCTGATCTAGCAGAAGGTATCCCTGTCTATGGCAGGAGACTTGGATCTATCTGATCTTTAAGGTCCCTTTCAATACAAACCATTATATGATTCTATGATTTGAACAATGTCCTTTGAGGTAGGATAGGATATGATAGTTTTAATGGACTTCTCAACATCTCAATATAAACACGCAAGTATAGTTGTAGTGTATCTGTATCTATCATCACCCTTCTATAGCATGAAATATTATTGTATTTTCTATATTATAAATAAGTTACAGCTACAAAAGCTGTTAACACTTTCTATTAAGAATGTGCCCGGTGGCTGCTGATATTCTATGCTTCTCTTCATCCATGAACATCTTCCTTAATTTCATTGCAATGACATCCTAACAAGATAAAAAATTGTAGGCAGTAACCAACCTTAACTGGCAAAACTGGCAAATGTAAGCTATCAGATTGAACATGTATTTTATAAACTATATTAAAGAAATCATAAATACGGTTTTAAGGGATTCAAATCCTTTGTTATAAACACATATAAAGCTTAGAGTTCATTTCCATTTTAAATACTTACAGGCATACCAAGTGGGGTAAACATGTAGAACAAGATCCCAGGGTTTGGAATTACAGAAATCTAACAGCAGTCAATTCAAAGCAATAACAGCATGTGACTGAGGTGGGAGATCCACTTATAAATACCTTTGTTGCGAGCCATGATGAAGTACTATAAGTAGTATAAGTACTGTTGCTAATACGCACAAAAATCCTATTTCTATATTTTCTCATTTGTACTTTGTATGGACGTTCATCTCACTTACAATGAATCACTTCTGCAGTAATTTCATTTTTACTGTTTCAACATATGAATTTCTTTGTTGTAGTTGACACCACTTGAACCTCTAAATTAAAATAAGAATAAAAAGAATAAAACAAATATTTAGAAGTTTTGAAAGAGGAAATCTTCCTACTTGGCTGAAATACAACAAACAAAATACTCCATAGAAAATTGAGAGTAAAAACAATCACACTTTTTTTTTTTTTTTTTTTTTAAATATACGTATGTATACACATATTACATACAGCTTTCTATAACATCATGTTTGTATCTTTTTTTTAATCAATATACACAATAGCTACATAAAGATTTTCACCTTAACTTGGATTTTGAATTGTTGTAATGCATGTCTTTAATTATATACTGGCTGTTCTTTATATTTAGTCTATCAGAAATGATAAATTATATATTCCTAGACACTTCATATCCCTCTATATAAAAATATATCTATGCAAAACTAATTCAAATTGTCCATCACTAGAATATAAAGATACTTTCTCTTATGGCATGAAAGCCTTACAGTTTATCTTACTATCTTTTATATAAGTTCTTCCCTTTCTCTACTTATTTTTCCCTCAAGTATTTCATATTAAGTGACATAAAGCCCTTGAAGTCAACAGAACTGTTTGCATCCAGTAGGTTTGTGGATTTCTATTGTCATCCTGGAGGGTTCTCAAGATAAGAAAAAAAAAAAAAAAAAAAAAGCAGAAAAGAAGAAAAACTTTTCTACAAATAATATATGTATGTGGAACATTTTAAATAATATACAGCTTATCTGAAAAACGCTTAAGAGCTCACATATACAAAAAAAAAAAAGGAAGATTTCTATTGATTTATAGTAAGCTTGGATATGAGATTTGGAGGCTTAAATCCGCAATACTGAAGCAATGCTGCTGTCATCCTTTGAAATAAATAGAAATGTATTTTCAATTCAGCAAGGTAGATAGAAATACGCTTTTTTTACAGCATATCAGTTGTTCTATGTTTTTTGGATTAAAAGTCATGCATCCAGTTACAAACATATAAAATTTCACTGTACTGGTCTTCGTGAATTATAAATCAAAATCATATTTTGCAACAGGATGGTAAGATGAATAAACCCCAAAGTAATTAATAATTTGCCACTACCTCCTTTTGTCTCAAAATGGTAACTTAGATAGGTTTGTACTACTATCTGTTCTAACCTTACTGCACTTTGTCTCAAATAGGTAGCATTATGTCTACTCCCTACATTTTACTCAGACCAGATAGCCTTTGTGTGCCCCTGACACACAGATGTATGTTTGTATGACAAACAGGAAGATATGCATGAAATTACTCTGGCCAATTTATACTAACACTAAGTTTTATGTCTTTCCTCTACTAGAATTTCCAATCCATGGTTATTTTGAAATAATTATTTTCAAGTAGACGGAGCTATAAAGCACTAGAATAATCAACTTACATTGTTGTAGCAAAATAATTTCTTAAGAGCAAACTCTAAGGCATTTGCTAACCCACAGGGAAGAATCAGCTGAAGTTCCCAGCATAACCTTGTATTCTTGAAGGTAATAACAACTGCCTAAAATCTCTCTGTGCTGAAAATTAATTTTTAGTGAACTGGTATATGCTTTTTTATACACTAAGTCTTTTAAAATATTATTAAAGATGTCCAAATCTTTATTAGGAACTTTTGCTATTGCAATGATTTTACAGATGCAACTTTAGTTACTTTTCCACTGGCAAAAATCCTTCTGCTATGCTAATATTCTACTCACAGAAAAGATTTCTTTGGCAGAATAGCTTATGATTTGGAAAGTTGATTACAAATTATACTGATAAAAATGTATTTCTGTTGGTTGGTAACACAGAAGAGTTTGCTAGTATAATTTTATTAGTACATACTTTTAGTGGTCTGAAATAGTATTTATTTTTAAAGTGAGCAAAACGATGTACACAACTAAAATTTTGCTAATCACGGTTACAACAGAAAAATCAGTAACTTTGTTTCCATCACATCATTCTTTTTTCTCCTTTGTCTCCTGTGGAATGTTTACTTCCTCCCTTTCCATTCTTTTCATTTGCTAAAATAACTCTCATTGTCAACAGGACTACAGCAAAATTCAAGGTTTCAAAAAAAGGTCCTGTGTCATTAGACTATATTTGAAGTTATGACCTGTTTTCACTAGTTTTAATTTATGTGAACAACTAAGACTTCATCACTATCTTTGAGAACATGATATAGCTTCAGTAGAGATGCCCTTACAACTACGTTACCACATTATTTCACGTCTTTCAATTCAGAGGAAATGGTATAGTATTGCTGTGGACCAGGCTTCACGACAAGATCCAAGAAACTGACTTCTCCATTCACGTTTCTTTTTCATCTTTCCTTTACCCTAAAATGTCAAAATTTCAAATAAGTAAGACAGTGGAATGTGGGCAAAATGAGGCATAAAATAGTAATATAGCAATATCAGTTCTAACAGCAGAGATTAAAAACAGGCATACTGATTCCCTTAACAGTACCCTATTCACCATACAGCACTTAGATGAGTACATCTTTAAGAATCTGGAGTGATAGCTGATTCTTCTGACATTCTTTTGTAATACAATGCTAACATGTATGCAGTCAGCACCACCGTAAACTAACATTCACTTCCTTTATTTCTCACCTACTAGGTTACAACATTATTTCATTATGACTGAATCACTCCTGTCTTGTGTCTGTTTTAATCTCTGATTTATTTATTTCAGTATTTAAAAAATAAATGAGAAAACAGGAAAGAAGAATACAACTCTTGAAAAACAGCTGATATTGAGTCTTCAGTTTCTTTCATTCTAAGAAATAGAAAGTCTTACTGTACAGCAAAGTCACTATGGAGATGACTTTTTGGAAAAATTCTCTAGCCATTGGAGTTTTATGGATTGTACCATTGTCCTAGTCAATTCCTTGTAGGAGACAAAAAATTATCTTGTTCCGAGGTTACCTTATTTTTCATACTGACATCAGGGTATGTTATTAGGTAACCTCAAAATAGAAGAAACACAGGAATAGTTTATAAAACAGATCTACAACTGTAGGAATGAAGAATTTTGATGAACACTGTGGAGTAGGAGGAAGCATGAGATCCCTTTGCTAAGACAGCAGAAATGACCATTGATTTTCTATACTCACTCTCTCCTTCCACTTCTAAGCAGAGAATTTTTGTTAATATACTCATATTATGATAAATGGTATGGTCAAATTATTACCACTGTGAAGTCACCATCCACAGAGAAAGCAAGCAAAGAAAGCTACCACACAGTAATCATCCACAATATGAAAGGATTTAACTGTTGCCCATACTGTGCATCCAATACATGTGTGAAAAATACAGGAGATATAAATACTGGAAAATGGATAATCAGGCTTCTCTCTTTCTAAATGGGATGTTCAGCTTCCTTCCTTAAATCTGTGTATGATTTTCTTAAGATTAATGCTGATGCAATTTAGAAGTTCCAATGAGATTTAAAAATATTTACTGACGAACAATTCATGAAGTATTCAAAGAACACTTAGATAGTTTAATCAAGAATGACTATAGTTTAACTAGTAGACTACTGCAGAAAAAAAAAATCATAAACAGAGGCAGATGCTAAAGGCTTGAAAGAATAAGTTGTAATTTCAGTTTTCAAGTAACTGCAGTTTTAGTGGAGCAAAGGTTTGCCAAACATCAATTGCCAGAGCAATTGTTTGATAATGAAGAACTCCTGGTAATACCAGTTTTATTGTGAATAAAAACAGAACTTGTTTTCTTTTATGTACTCTGGATGTTTAAGAGATATCATTTTTCATCTAAAGATTACTGGGCTCTGTCGTATTTCCTATAAGAGGAAAACCAAGCCATTAATTCTATTAGCTAGAAGAGGTATCCATCACCTCTATCAGAAACAGAATTGAGTTTGGTTCCAAAGGTAGTCACTGAACCACTGAAACACGAAACAGGCCCCCTATTTTTGATATTTGATTCATATATTTTGATGCTCAGTGAACCTAATCAGGTTAGGAGGTGTTTACTGAGGTAATCCAAGTGTGGAGCCCCCAGTATAAAAAAGACAGGGAGCTGTTGGAGAGTCCAGAGGAGGCCATGAAGATGATCAGGGGACTGGAGCGCCTCCCCTATGAAGACAGGCTGAGGGAGCTGGGCTTGTTCAGCCTGGAGAAAAAAAAGGCTGCGGGGTGACCTCATTGCAGCATTTCAGTACCTAAAGGGAGCCTACAAACAGGAGGGGAATCAACTCTTTGAAAGGGTTGATAACTGCAGGACAAGGGGAAATGGTTTTAAGTTGAGGGAGGGGAGATTTAGGTTGGATGTTAGGGGGAAGTTCTTTACAGAGAGAGTGGTGAGGTACTGGAACAGGCTGCCCAGAGAGCTTGTGGATGCCCCGTCCTTGGAGGTGTTCAAGGCCAGATTGGATGGGGCCCTGGGCAGCCTGGTCTAGTATTAAATGGGGAGGGGGAGATTGGTGGCTTTGCATGTTGCAAGAGGGTTGGAGATTCATGATCCTTGAGGTCCCTTCCAACCCTGGCCATTCTGTGATTCTGTGATTCTGTAATTGATGTAAAGTTACTCTGTGGACTTCCATGTGTTAACATATATATTTCATTACTTTGGTTTATGCCTCTTCCTAATCCCTGTCATTTATAAAGACAGCTCTCATGCCTGTGAGAGAGACCATTCACACCTCTCACAGACAAGAGTGTTCTTAGAAATAAGGCTGGCAAACTGAACTTGCATTTCATACTATCACTGAACTAATTCTTTCTGAAGTTACTGGTAGGAGATAACTGAAAGAAACAGGAAAAGGAACAGCTTGAAAACAACTGGGTAGATATGCCAGTCTGGAACTGGCTAGAAAAGAATGTCAGGGAAGCAGATTAGAGAAAAAAAAGAAAAATTCTGCTGATAACAGACATTCTAAAATTTTTCCATTGGTCCTTCTTCCACAGAAATAATGGCAGAGTGGAAACAAAGCTGTACAACAGGCCTCCACTATTTCTATAGGTGCTTCAGACCATGAAAAATACAGGAGGCTGACAGCACCACAAGGCAGTGTCCTGGGTAGTTTGCATTTATTTATTTATTTATTTATTTTGGCTAAAAACTATTTCATTACGCCTCACCCGTGATAAAATCACAGCTTGCAAAAACTACCCGTGACCTCTGCCGCTAGAGGGCTGCACTTTCTGCCATACGCTCCGAGACCTCAAGATCCCGGCTCCAGACAGGTTACCGGCTTTGACAGACGGTGCTTTCAGAAGCATATTCTGAAGCATATCTGTAATAACTAACAATTTTGCTCATATTAAATTGTTGTTGCAACTGTTAATTATAACTTAAAATGTCAATTATATGCAGCCATTTGCTTAGTTGAGTAGAAATCCTACTAAGAAAATAGCTGAGAGGCTAGTTCTATAGCTTTAGCTAAATTCTTCAAAACCTATTCAACTATAAAGAGGCTACTTACAGGTACCAAAAAAGATTTTTTAAAAGCTTGTCTTAGTGGGACCAGGAGATAACATATAAAGAAATTATTAAACAAAAGACATTCTGTAGAGACAAGGGAAGGCACTTATGAGACAGCTGTTCATGAAGAAACAGACTAACACAGGACAGACATCTGCTGAGCCTGGAGAAATTAGGTTTCAGGATTACCATTTTCCTCTAAGCTTATGGAAGACATATACACAAAAAACACACGCTGCTTATCACGTTAAAACCCTTTTTCATTCTACACGTTAATAGTCCTATTGTTAGGATGAAACAATACTTTTATTTAAAGAATGCAATCAAGTAAATGTTTTATAAGCTAATTGGAATTCCCAAAGGGAATACTTGCAGGTGCTGAATCCAATCAGATCTGCCACATAATTAAAATTGGTGCAGGGGACACAGTAAAGCAGATGTGGTCTTAAAACAAGAGAATTGTTTGATTCAATGTTACCACAGATGAATGGGGCACATTCAGATAGATAAAGGGACCAGTGTTATAAATTACAGTTCCACTGCGGAAATTGACTAAAAATGGCTTCACTTGAGCATCAGTGTTTTTTATTTTTGCCTTCTAAATTTTCTGTAAGCCGTCTGCTCAGTTTACAAATAAAAAGAGGCTGCTTGGGACTGATGACCGTTCAAACTGGACCCGAGGTTTTTAAGCCACACAGTTTTCTTTCTGGCTCAAATACTAATTAAAATTCTTCAACTGGAACTTAGTAAAGAAAATGAAAGAGCCAAAAGAGTCCTCAGCTTGCTGTACCGTAATTGTGTCAGCAACCGCAAAGGTAACAGAAGCCAAAAATTTTATTTCAGTCAGTAAATGAAGCAACCATGAGTCAGAATATCTTAGATACAAAGGGTATAAAATGATTATGAACGTACCATTTTTACACAATATTTTTTCTGACTGTACATGCTATCAACTTGTTACTGAATGTGCTGCATCTGTTTCATCCAGCTGTGAGGCTAGATACTGCATTCCTGGGACACAATTCCCAGAGTAGCTATTGAAAGTTTCCAATTTACAGTGCTAGATTGGGTCTTTAATTTGTGAATACTTTTGGGCAGGAGTCTGTTCAGATACTAAAATATCCATGCTTTAATACCCAATAGTATATTAGATATCTGGCTCATAATTTATAAGTACTCGCAAGACGATGTGCTGTACTATGTATTATGTATGAAATCTGTATTTTAAGCTCTAAAAATTGTTTTGGGCTGCATTAGTGGTAAGTGATTACTAACACTAAGGCTGGGTTTCCCAGGGAGCTCAGAATGGAAGTTGGATTTCATCCACAGCCAGCCAGGTTTTCAGCCTGCATTGGACAAGAAACCGAGTCAGCGGCCATTCCGTACATACACGCAGCAATATGAATTTAGCACACAACATGGTTTAACGCAGTAAAGGCACGTTGGTAGAACTGATGCTCACTGCTGACCACGGCAGTTATGATTATATTACTCTGCCAATTTTTTCAAAGGTAATGAGTGGATTAAACAGCACAGAGCGGAGTAAAAATGCCTTTCTAGCGCACGGGCAATCCCTCCCACCTTCACATTCTCGGCACCTCGCAACCCTTTTAAGCTTCAACCTGAATACTCTGACATTTGCAAACGGAAATACCCCTGGCTGCAGTGAAACATCTTTGCGTTTCTATTAAATATTTATGTAAGAAATGCCGAGCTGTGTCACACAGCTCTGGCTTAGTCCAGCTGTCACCGCACAGAAATAATCTCTTTATTATTTTTCCTATGAGCCCGCGGGATCGGCCCTCGCCCAGCTGCCGGCAGAAGTGCCAATCCCGCTCGGCACCGATGGAGGAGGCGCGGCTGGCCCCGCTCAGACACGGCCCCGCTATCCGGCGCCTCCTCTGCAGCCACAGCCGCAGCCGCAGCCGCAGCCGTCCTTTCTTGCAGCCGCGGGCCTGCGAGGCTCTGCGCGTAACCCAGGTGACGCGGCACCACTGCGCGGACCCTCCTGGGGCGGGAGCGGCCTCCCTACACGCCCTCCCACCGCCAACCCCCACCCCTCGGGCCGCCGCAGAGGTTAAACCGCCCCCGCCTTCCCCCCCAGCGGCTCTGCCGTGCACGACCCGTGATTGGCCGCGCCGCTCAATCCCAGCCTCGCTCTCTTTTGTTCCCATTGGCCAGATCTCCCGCCCGTCTTGAAGGGAGACCCCACCTTCTTCTGTAAGCTCCCCCAGAACCCCCCCCTACCCCCTTCCTCCCCCCATATCGCCCAGCTGCCCCCAGTCTGGAACCCCCTTCCCCGGCTCTAACCTCTCTTGCCTCAGGGGCTTCTGCGGTGTAGCCGAGGTCGGTGGGCCCTTGCTCGCGGCCGGACCCTGCTCAGCCAAGCCCGCCAGCTGCCGGAGTGTCCGGCGGTGGTGCTGGGTGGACACGGAGCCCCCCCACTTCAGCCCCGTGCCCAGCCCGTCAGCCGAGGAGAGCATGAGGGCGCGGGAGCAGCGGGCGGCCGCGCCGCAGCGTTAGGGCAGGCAGGGGCCGGAGGGGCTCGGAGGCGGTGTGAATCATCTCCCCCTCGCTCACTCGCCCACCATTTACACCGCTCCCTCCTCCTCCCGCCGCTCCCCCCTCCCGCCCGTTCTCCTTCGTCTCACTCGTTCTCGCTCTTCTCTCCCACTCTCTCCCCTCCTCTCCTCTCCTCCTCCCGTCTCACTCTTTTCACTTACCCCCTCCTCCCCTCTCCCGCTTCTTTCCCCTCTCTCGCCCCCTCGCTCCCGTCTCCCCGCTCCTCATCTCCTCCTGACACTGCACTGCAGCTGCTCCTCCAGCCCAGTCCTGCCCGCTTCCCTCCCTCCTTCCCTCTCCTTCCCTCCCCCCGGCTGCCAGATAAACAAGGCGCTCAGCATCCTCGGCAACCCCGAGCGTAGTTCTACATTTTCGGAAAGGACAAGAGAACGGGACGAGCCCCCGCCCCGCCGCCTTCTCCGCCTCCTCCGCCCCCGTTCCCGGCCGCGTCCTTCCGCCTCCTCCTCCCCCTTCCCTCCCTGCCCCCCCAGCACCGAAGGGAAGAGACAATTCTCCTCCGAGCAGCAGCAAACATGATGGCGGCAGCTCCCATCCAGCAGAACGGGACCCACACCGGGGTTCCCATAGACCTGGACCCGCCGGACTCCCGGAAAAGACCGCTGGAAGCCCCCCCCGAAGCGGGCAGCACCAAGAGGACCAACACGGGCGGTGGGTATCTCCTCCGCCGCCTCCCCCCGCCCGACCCACCCACCTCTCCCCTTCCTTCCCTACCTGCCTGCCTCCCCCTCGCCCCCCCAACCATTCCCGTTTCTCTAACGTTATCATTCATCAAAATGGCGTCGCTTTTCGGCATCCACCGGGCTTTTGATTTAATGCCCACGCAGGGGCTACGCGGCCGCGACCCGGCGGCGGGGAGGCAGGCGTGCGGGGCTCCCTCCGCACAATTGGCTCCGATCAATGGCAGCCGGCTGGAAGGAGACAAACGCACTCTCTTCCCTTTGCATCCTTCGGGTCACAAGTTGCGTTTCAGCCTTGCCCTGCGTTTCCCTCTGCCTTGGCCTCGGTGCTATTGTCAGCCTGTGCACGGTGTTGTTTGGCTGCGGGGGGCGAGGGCTGGCTACTGCGGGGGGAGCCGGCTCTGCCGCGGGGACTCGGGAGCTATCAGCCCGCCCTGCCCGGGGGAAATGAGTTATAACGGGACCGGCGTCTCCTCCGCTCGTTTGCACCAGAGTCGTCATAACAATGCACCGAGGCAGAGGTGAATTTATTTGCCCGATATTAAGACAGCAGGCTGGCTAAATATAGTGCATCGTGCAGCCGGCTGGATGAATATGGATGGGCACTATTGTCACACGCAAGCACTTAAGGCGCTTGTAGGTTTGAATGGGGAAAGTGAGGTGAACTCGGATCGCTCCTCTTGCTTAAGGGGGGGGGGGGGAGGGGGGAGGGAAAACCCAATAATCACTTTGTAAAATAGATTCCATGGTAAAAATCTTGATGCTAAAGCCAATGGGACATCTTTTTAATCACTGAGGAGATCATAAGTCTGGGGAATCGACCAACCTTTATTGTCCTGCGCTTTTTCAGAGCTGGTTACAGAAGGTTGTCAGACTTCAGTGTCGCTGACTTAGGATGAGAGCACTGATAATCAGTTGCTGGATCAGATTGGATTTTTCTTTTTCCATTCATTGCATATGTATTTTTTACGGTTCTGGTTGTATGCTTTAATGCTAGTAGGGAGTCGAGGACTCGCATTGTCTATCTCATCACCTTTTAAGTGTATTTACAATGTGTGACTTAGGCTTTTGAGTAACCGGGAAAGATTCTTAATGTCCTTTAATTAATGAGCTTAAAAGAGATCATTGTTCCTTAAGAACTGCTAAAGGAATACACCAGGATTACTTAGGCAAGTGATTCCATCCTCACCATGTTGAGTTGTTTTCTTGGCAGTGGCTGAGATGCTTGGAATAAAACCCCACATTTTGGGTGGGTTATTTGGTAGCAAGTAGTCGTTTTTCTCACTTAAGAAGAATGCATGCAATAGCTAATTGCTATTCTCATGTGTTTGCTAATGACAAACAAATATCCCATTAGAATTTGTAATTCATTCCTCCTTAGTTTTGGCATTTCTTTTGCAGTATTTTCAAGCAAGGTTGTAGTTGTGACGAGGCACGTTTTTGTGCAGAGATTCATTTTTTTTTTTTAAAAGGGTTTAGTCATTTCTGTATGCTATGGTTACCAGCAGGAAAGCTGAAAACATTCCGCCTTTGAAATAGAGTTAAAATTTTATTCTTATTCTTTTACAGAATTAAGGAATGTATATGGATTCTTTATTTTGCTTGAAACAAAAGTGCGTATTTTGAAATGTCAGAGACATAGTCCAAACATGTCTTGCGAATGACGCAACTGGTTAGATATAAATGCATGCATTAGTGGATGAGGCTAAAGATATAACATCATTTGTGGGTCTGGGGGGGGAGAGATCAAAGTTTGTAAGTCATATTAACCATGCATATCTCAATTTTTCAGAGGATGGCCAGTATTTTCTAAAGGTCCTCATACCTAGTTATGCTGCTGGATCTATAATTGGGAAGGGAGGACAGACAATTGTTCAGTTGCAGAAAGAGACTGGGGCCACCATCAAGCTGTCTAAATCCAAAGATTTTTACCCAGGTAGGTGCGAAAATTAGCTGATTATTTATGTTTAAATCCCATGGGTTGTATGAACGTGTCAGTATGTTTCATGTGTTGGCACATAAGCATCAAGTGCAGCATGAAATGGTTTTTTTGAAAAGCATGCAACAAAGTTGCAACAGTGGATATGATGTTTCATTTTATTTGATGTATGGAATGAAGTGGGTAGATTATCATCTAGTAATCTAAGTGCTTCATATATGTCTAAAAATGTTTTCAGTGTTGCTGAAAAAAATATTTTGTTTGCTTTTTTGCTAGTTTAAAAAAAAAAACACCTAGCTTTAAAGAACCGACTTGACAGCTGGCGTAAAAATAATTGTTCGTTTGAAGTTTTCAGACACTGCAATGACAATTAAGCTAGAATGAATAAAATTGAGAGGCCTCCTCTTAAAGAATGGGCCATTTACTTTAAATCCATTATGTACCTTCTTTATGCCTCATTGCTTTGTTCACTGGCTCTGGAGTGAAGTAAAGAGGACAGGCGCTGCTCTTTAGATATTCTTTATATTATGTTTACCACGGTGGTGGAAGAAAACTCTGCTATAAAAGGGAAACACTGAACAGTTGAAGAGCAAGTATTTCTCATAAATTGTATCTGCACGCAAGAAACAAGTTTTCAATTATTAGTGTACGATAAGAAATAAATACCTGATTTAATATTTCTTCTTTAAAAGTTCTGAAGAGGAGGTCTTGCATAACAGTATAAAACATTTTAGTTTCTGCAATTGGATTTTTTTTTTTTCCTTAGGGTCAACAAATTAGCATTCTGTATTTGAATGTGATCTGGGGGGGTTGTTATAAATGGATGCAGATAATTACTGGTTTTGGTGTTTTGATTCTGTTTTGATGGTAATCTGGTGATTTAGAATTGACTAGGTGTTAACATCTTTTCTGTGGAAAAATAAGAGCTACTTTTCATTTGGTCTAGTTTAACAAGATGAATTCTCTAAAACAGTGAAGGCAATTGGTATGGGTGTAAGTAGGACACTAACATATTAGCGTTTATTTTCCCTGTCTTATTAGTTCTGTATAAAGGAGAAGTGAGTAATCTCTTATTAATGGAGATATTGTGGTCATTTTACAATGAGTTTTGTTATGGACATTTTAATGCACCTGTTGTATATCTCCTTGGTGAAAGAGATTTGTAATTCCTACAAGTCCAAAGTTGAAGTAATGCATGTAGTTTTTTTCCATTGAAACATACAGTTTATGAGCTGATACTGTTGGTGTTTTTTTTTTTCCTTTTTTAAATTTTTCATTCCCCTTTCGGAAAGTTAAAGGAAAAATTATTTTGAAAGGTGTGGAAGAGCGGGGGGTGGGGGGAATCAATGTAGAATTGTGAAAATTCTAGGAAGAAATAAAAACATTCAAAAGAGCTTGATTGCAGAATTAATAACATAATCCGCGTAAAGAGCTGCACTAGTAAATTAAATTCGCTGTCAATAGATGAAAATGAAATAGATTTTCTGCATTATACATGAGGTAGTATGAGATATACAAGGATGTTACAGAAAATTGGTGTTTATGAAGTATATTTAAAATACCAAATTACAAGCCTTTTCATTTTACTACAGTTTATTTACACTCAGTTGGAAAGGATGCTCGAAAGATTAGATCTTTTGTTTAGTACTCCAGCAGAGTTCTTCTGTTGTTTGATTAAATCAGAATTACATATTATCTTGTCTTGCAAATTGTAAAGATATATCAGGAGTAGCAGATAAACCTTTGAAAAATAAAAAGTAGCTAGCTAGACACCAGTAAAAACGTTTGCGACAAACACATTCTCTCTTAAAATCAGTAGTAGTAATAATATAGGCAGCTAGGAAAGAGAGGCTCAAACTGTTTAACTGTAACAGGTGCAAATGAAGTTCCAGTTTGACTTTATACTTTCTGCTTTGGATTTGCAGCCACATTATGTAGAAAGTGAGTGTTTTAAGAAAGTTGGTTAAGGTGTGGAATGGATCTGAGAAATGGACTCCAATGGGGCTAACTCTTGTTGGTCTTTCTGTTTGCACTTGACCACAAACCTGTGGAATTTTCAAAGGTCCTGACATTCTGTAAGCTGGTAACTTTTGGGTTTATTCCAGACCCTCAGACTCATACAGCATGAGGGAAAGGGAATCTTGTGAAATAGCTAATATAAAGATATAATTTATTTTCTGTGTACTGTTTCTAAGTGATTATTTTGGTTACTTAGCCTGTAAAACTGTACGTGACTCAGAATGTGTTCAGTGTGTGTTTGAGCATGAAATGTTTACACACTGAATTTTCTGTGAAACTTCTCATTTTTCCAAAAAGTTTTAGCACAGTCTGACTAAGTTGTTGTTTGGAAAGGAGGAAGTTGGTTGTAATACGGAAGTCATGAGCAGTTTCTATGATCTAATAGTGTTCTTTCTTTTTTCTGTAATGTAGGACTTCAGTATGCAGACTGATTTCTGTTGGAATTATTTTTGTGTATCAAAAAAATGACATAACTACTGAAGAATCATATGGCAGTTCTTATTGCAAGACACTGAAGGAAAAAAAAAAAGTTTTTAACTGAACATCTTAGTTCACAAAATAGAAAGCAGTACATACATCCATTTTGACCAGAGTCTTATTTTTTTGAGTGCAAAATTTATTCTTCTCTTTTCAGGTTACCAGCTGACTTTGATTATCTGAACTTTTGTAGCTTAAGTTTGTGCTTATCCCTGATTCTTTCAGTCTTGTCCCATTGGATTAGTAGAAACAAAATTAGACTGGCAAAAAATAGGCCCTACTTTTAAAGTAATGCTGGTAACTTTTGCAGAGAAGTAGAGTGTATGTATTGACTGCTAAGTTTTGGTCCAAAATTTAAATACTGACATAGCCATTCTGCATGAATACTGATAAAGTGAACTTCATAGAGAAAGTGGCCCTTTTGCTGACCTGTTTTGATTCATGCTTGTATTTTGAGCAGTATAAAGCAGCGTCAGTATTTTTGTTGCATTAAGCTCTCAATTTTTCTGTTTCTCCATTCTAAATTATAGCAAGTGCTGGACTGAGAACTCCTGTGGACATATGTATTTTTTCCATTGCGAATGCTGACGCGTGCTTGCATTCTCTCTTGCTTTCTCTCAGCACTCGCCCCCACCCCCTTCAAGTCTCTCACTCACACACACGCACAAAATTATGTTACATTGCATCACGTTGTTTATCTTGCAACAGGATCTTGCCTGATCTGAACTTGATGCTTGAATGAGTTTGAGCTCGGTCACTGTTTTTTAATTTATTGGAATATGAAGTCATATGTGTACTTAAATCAGATCATATTAAGAGCAGAGCTTAATAAAAACATAATTAAATGGAGATAAGGTTTTACTGCCTTTAACAATAGAGAAGTTGTGTTTTTAAAGCAGATTTCTGATCAGTAGTGTTCTAAATATTTGGAGAATATGAAAGGAGGAGTTTCCTTCCTCTTCCTCATGCAGAATATATGGAGTATGCCTCTGTGATATTTTCACAAAGTGGATTGTTAGTGATGTTTTGTTTGAATGTCTTTTTTTAAACATCCGTGAATTGTGTGAGATCATCTTGCTGTACTTAGTTCATGTGCCCTTTTGAATATTATCTCATTGTGACTCCTAAAAACATTTCAAATGCATTGAATGGACAAGTAACTATAGAAACTTATTAATTGTAAGTTTGCTTTTGAGTTTCGTTAAACTGTTAGGGTGGGGGAAAGTATAATATATCAAGCTTGGTTCACCATTGTTTCCTTTATATCATTAAGGAATTGCCACGTTAATTTCTAATTATAAAAGATAGCTGAAGTAGCAGAAGGAATGTTTTAAAAATTAACTCATGGATTAATATGAGTGAAATGCTATTTTTCAGCAGTAGATGAGTGTTGAAAATAAAAGGGAAATAAAGCAGTTAAAAGTTACATTGGAGTTAGTTTAGCTGTCTGTCATGGTTCTTGAAGGAGGCTGTCATAGATGAATAAATACATTCCATTTATATTCTTGATATTTCTTTGTTTAAGTGTTGACATTCTCTAAATAGAGACTTCATACATATAAATCTAAGGTTTTCAGATTCTGTTGTAAACATTTACTGATAAGAGCAACTACTGAGATAATGGAAATGTGGAGGTGACTAAAAAGTAGAGGTTTCAGAGGTGGATTCTTTAGAGCTTTGTAGTTTTGTAAAGAAGCTGTCATTACTGATCTTTCTACTAAGGGAAAATAAAAAGCAAGACCATTAAAAAAAAAAAAAAAAAACCAACCCAACAACAACAACAAAAAAACACTCTAGTGTTGATTGCCAGCTGTTCAGAGAGATAATTCTCAGTTGGACAGTTGTCAGTTGCCTAGTTACTGGAAGAGAATTTAAAAAAAAAAAAGTTAGCTTGTTAGACTGCAGATCTTTAATATGTTTTACATTTAAAAAGAAGCTGAAACTGAATATGTAACTACATATAATCTTGAGGTTATTCCATATCTAATTTGACCAGTGTAAATTTAGTATTTTCTCATGTGGCAGATTTAGAAAAATTCTGAGTAGAAGTTTTGTGCTGATTTCTTCTGAATAAAGGGGCTTCTTTATGTTAATAAGTGAATAAACTTGTGCATGGTAAATGACTGTGTTTTGCTAAAAGTGCTGTGCCTTTCTCTTATGTAAGAAATGTATAAAACAACTTGATAGATTCAAAATAATCTACCTTTTTTATTGGTACGCTTGTTTTTGCATCGTAAAAAACGAAATAATGATGGCTAGGGTCAACACAAAGGAATGCTGTATTTAGTGATGTTTGACTTTTCTCTTGTGATTGTTTTTCTTTTTTCAATTTTGTTGAAAACTATATGATTTGCAATACAAAAGCTAATGTGTCTTTTTGTTCTTTTTCTTGTTGGTTTCATCCTGTAGCAGTCAGTATCTTTCTCAAGTACTGTGATATTGTATGTTTATTAATTGACTGTCCTTTGTAGTTGACCTTAATTTATTTCATTGGTGACTAG